GACAGACGCTCCAGCGACAGACCCTCCAGTGACAGACGCTCCAGCGACAGACGCTCCAGCAGACGCTCCAGCAAAGAGCATTCAGCGTCGCCGTTATAACCCCAAGGGCAGGAAGACAAGAGCTGGATCAAGCTTTGAAGGAGTTGAACCTGAGAATTTCTCATGGACAACGGGCGACCCACATGAATGGCCATGGCCTACGTACGAGCTGCCCAACGGCGGTGCCCTCATGGCTGAGAAAACCACTAATAGGATGGATTCATCTAAAAATCCTATAAGCTACTATCTAGTAGAATTAAAAGTGGAAGTCGAAGGTCTGGGGGTACTCTATCAACACAAGTTGGTTAGGTATAGCGACTTCCCTGGAGAAATCGATGCTTGGAAGGAGGCAGCTGGTGAGGAAAGATGCAAATTTGCGGCCACGGACGAACCTGACTCTAAAGAAAAGCTGCGGAATGGCAAATCCTATGGATTCGAGAGACTAGATTTTATTGCGTCTCTGACGCCAGGAAGCAAGGACCCAACAAAGGGGTCTCAAAAGAGGCCAGAAACCGAGTGTATCGTTGCGGTTAAAGGGCACGAAAAACCCATATTTTTAACTATGGGAGAGTTCTTCCGAATGGTTGGTAAGAGAAAAGCAGAGAGTTTGATTATCTTTGTTTGCAACAGAGACGGGATGTCTTTGCCAGGCAAAACCGAAGCAAGAAGGATATCGTATATGAATCCAGCATGCCCAGATAATACGGAAAGCCTGGAATTCCGGGAAAAAAATAAAACGATCCCGGCACAAGCTGTAATTCAACAGTCGGAAACAGCGGTCCATGATGAGTACCTGAAACGAACCGTGAGGGAAATGTTGGCTGTCGAGAAGGAAAGGGTGGATGTACGTTTTCAGAAGATCGAAAGCGACGTCTACGGAGTCAAGAGCACCCTTCACGCACACGGAGGCTATTTACAGAGTATCCTTAGCCTACTCCAAGAGAATCTGCCAAATAAAAACCCAGACACTCAACCTCGAGATACTATTCCTGTTGGAAGAAAACTGATGGATGTGCTTCAAGGTTCGGGAAACAGCCGACAATCGGAAAGAGAGCAAACCCTGCCACCTTACACCTCTCCGAGCCCAGAGGTAGCCCAGCAGCAAGTACAGCGTTCCATTGAGGTATGAGCTTTGTGGTTCTGGTCTGGATGACCAGCAAGCTTTCTTGTTGCATGCGATCCGATATAGTATTCCGCTGCAACACCATAAGCTAAAACTAGGGAGGAGATGTCCCTATTTCCTACAGGAATATGTTAGAGTTTGAATACGTTTTTTATACATTCTGGATTTTTATTCATTCTTAGTGTTTTGAGTTTTAAGTGCTGTATCGCCATCGAACGCTTTGCCTCTAATTTTCATAACTATCATTCCATTCTTCTCATCCCCCCCCCCAAATTGCAAACCATGACCTGGAAAATAAAATACCTATAATAGATAAAATGTTTCGTTTACATCATGCGATGCTTGCCTGGTAATGTTGGCTAGAGTATAGCGTAGTTTGGAGGGTTTTTTGATACACCTAGTGTGTGGAAATTGAACGCAGGTTTCGCGGTACATAGCTCATATATGTACTGCACTTAGCAAAGGTCAGACGTGCTGTGGCCTAAAACATAAAATCTTCGGTCTTATACCCAAGGTCATGCTGCAACTGTCCCTGCTCAATATGTTGGACCCTCCTCTTGTACAGCCTTGAAGTGCTGAGGGAACACTATCGGTGAGCCCAAGGATCTGTCATGTCGTTCTATAGACGAGATTCCAGTGCAAATTGCAGATGCACTAGCAAGTAATGAGCCCTCCGCGGAGGATACATCTGCTTGTAGCCAACCATCCTTGATCCGATGGCTGGTCAAAAGCAATAGGGACCCAGGACTTAGACTAAGCGTGTCGCAATGGTAGTATATGTTCATATTGCGGAGCAGTCTGTTTTCACTAAGACGGGATATTATCTTGTATAGCAGGATATTCAAGACAAGCAAATCCTGTGAGACTCGACTGTCATAAGGCACTCTAACTTTTGCTTTAACGAAAGATGGAGTCGCATCGTGGGGCTCTAGAGGCTCAAATATAAGATCGGAGAGTGCTTCAGCACCAGTCATCAGACTAGTAAGGCGACGGAATGGCACATCAATAGGTGCGCTGTCTTTTGCGACGTGGGACATACTTTCTGGTAACAGTCGGGTAGGCTTTCGGAGGGTTCAATGAATTTATAAATTATTCAGCTGGAGACTTGCATTGTAAGATTATTCAAATCTATAAAGGCCAGGCTTTTAGTAATTTCGAGGTCATCTCAGAAGGAATTTCCAAACGTCTTAAGAACTACCACTTCCAGTCTTGCTACAGCCTGAGTCCAACTCGTGTCATCCACACTCTTTCAATGATGGTCTTAACTGTAAATGCGCTAAACTATAATAGAATACTACATCGGAGGCTCCAACCATGCAAATGTTATAATTGTGCCGAGGTTACAAGATAGCTAACTATATATGTACTAGTTTATCTCCACTGTTGGTTTCCAGAGTGTTTGCATTATGCCAGTTCCGACTATAACTGTTCCAGTTGATCTGCTCAGCCAACTTCGAACCGGCTACAAGTGGCTTGCAACATATGACGAGCAGCATCGCCTCTAGAGCGATGAGGAATGTGAATGTGGAGCGGTGGAGATGGTGGAGATGGTTGTCCATGTATCAATAGATTGTCCGCGACTGAACTGGCTACGCCCAAGAGCTACGACGCAAAATTGGAAAAGCACTCAACAACATTTCAGATATACTGGGAGGAGCTGACTACAGTTAGGTATGTAGGCTGAAAGATGCCCTCAGAATAGTCTTTCCAAGACGCGAAAGCCACAGGGGCTGGGAAATAGAACACCAGGCACCGGCCACCACGGGCCTCGACCGGCTCTACGACCGTCAGGAAAATAACAGTTTATTGTAAATAGACATACAGGTAGAGTATAGATAGTGGCATCTTTGCATATCAGCATATGAATTAATAACGAATCTATATTGAACAACATATGCATTGAAATTTAGACAGGAATAAATATCGGTTGGTCGTTTGAACAATCATTTCATTAGGCAACAATATTGTTCATGAACAGTACTACACTTTATTATTCTTTGTAATGTGCCGTCAGTCAATTCTATTTGTGCTTAAAGGTATTCAGACATACTAAAGTGTGCACTGCACGTTGGATAGACAGTGTAATGGTCACTTTTCTGGAGTACCTTTCAAATCCTAATGTGTTCACCGTAGCGGCAAGGTCTATCAGAGATTGTGGTCCTTGGTAGCTCTTATCTTATGGTATCTCAGCCGCACCTCGCATTATAGGTCTTTGTATGTACATCGTAGCTTTATTAGACTTAACTTAACTGACTACAAGGAGTATTCAGGCCATGCAATTGATGTCATGCTCAATAATAGCACTATCACACGCAGAAGACCATCAATATATGGAGGGTCTTTCTCAAGCAATAAGTGAACAAATGAAATGCACTAAGTCAGAGAAGGTCGCTGATAACGGTTCTTCTAAAGCTAAGCTACTCGTAAATCAATCGAAGTTGTCACTAGCTAAAATGCGTCATGGCCAAAATACCTCGCCATGGGGAGGCAAAGCCTTGCATAGAGAGGTCCGTCAAAGGGTGTAGACCTGTAAAGGCTGGCGGTCTGATTTTCACACTTGTATATCATATAAAGGCATAAGTTTAGAGCGAACTGCTAGAAATTTGGTCCCTAATTTCGATTCTTATGAACACTTGATGGGAATACACGTATAAGGAGACTGCATATATTGCTATCTACTATCCTAACATGTGATAGGCACTATCCAAGATGCCGCATATAAGTGATTGGCCAATATATCCAGAGACGCTAGCACAGTAGCACACATAAGGAATTATACGTTTAGTCGATAAAGGCTTTTGGAATGTCTACCTGTTTCCATAGCGTTCAGGTATGTACCGACAAGATTCTACCATCTGGAATCATCTGATATGGACCAATCATCGGCCCTTGCTACTGACAACCAACGCCGCACAATCGATCTCAGAAGAATCGGTGCATGTTGAAGAGATTGACACAACCCGAGGAACTCATTCCCTTGGAACACCATTCGATGGTCTTCAATCTGTCCTATCACCAGTTGAATTATATTATCCTCGTTCATCTCGGATCTCGCCGTATTGCATTGGGGTTGATCCTGAGGGAAATATACTTCACTGATCATTGGTGCACTGAAAAGCAAGTCTATCGAATTAAGGAATTCTTTTGTCTCCCAGCCCTTCTTTATGGCGCCTTCGTACTTGGACAAGATCACATCCTGCAAGGGCGAGGATAGCTTCCAGAGTCTGGCAAGGCTATACATAGACGCATGTACTGAAAGTTCATTGATCCCTCCTGTAATCATAATCAATACTTTATGTTTCAAAGTATGCTTTACAGTATGTGTCTTGCCTGAACAGCCTGAAAACGGGCAGCGCTTGTCTGAGTATGTGCCCAGGTAAATAAGTTCCAGTAACTTCCAGATAGTACTGATGTCTCCGTATTCCAGCTCGCAACGAAGCTGACCCGTAACTTGGAAGCATCGCCGAAAGCGTTCTTGGAAATATGAGCTCTCTGATTCCAAAATTATGGTATGGACTGGGAATTCCCAATCCTTCACAACGATATATGCATCTGCACCTTGTAAGGTTCGCCATAGCTTCTCCCTGTTGGGATAAGAAATAGATCGCAATATTTCCATTTCGGATAACCTTCTTCATGCCACGTGTGATTGAATTCTGACTGAAACTTGCAAGAGTGTCCGTAAAAGCCGTATACTGTATAGTATAATGTAGAGCACGAGCTCAAGTAGACTGAGCAGAAGTGGAGTTAAGGAAGTATAGATTTCTTATGTTGCGATCATGGAAAATTGGTGTCACTGTTACTATCATTTGCTCCTTCCCAGAGGTTAGGGCCAAGCTAGTCGTGCTTCATGACTTGCAAGTCCCACTTCTCCCTATCTACGATACCCAGGTATTCTGCACAGATCATACGGAATCCCTAGATTGTGAGCAATATCACTTGGGCTCTGAAAGGTGCGGGTGCTGTCGATTTTCCCTGAAATCAGAGGGCCACCGTTTGCTTACCACTTCAACTCCTTATTGGGGTGAGATTATCGATACTTTGAGCACAATTACTGTGGATTATATTGCCGTAGTGAAGTATATTGAAATTGCAACCTCAAACACTCTGAGTTTGAACATTCTTCTTGGCTAGGGGGTGTCATATGTTGGACCAACAGCCATGATTCCCAGTTGAACAGGGACACCGACCAACACAACCTGCCAGTAAATATCAGTACTTATAGATAAACTGAGGGGGTAATGTAAACCTCAACGTTCACTGTTGAACCAAGTATTATTCTATGTTGAACTCTAACGCCTCGATTTGGGAAGGTCCTCCGGAAGGGGTAAACGATTTCATGACATAATGTTGGCAGCAAAAGAGTTGTCGAGGATACCAAACACTATACAAGTGACAAAGGAAGCGAACCTTGATCTCGTAAGATCCTTCGTTGTGGATACCAAAAATATGTTCATTGTGTTTGACGACCAACTAATTGAACATCATACAGTACGTGGGGTTCTCCTACATGATAAACACATCGTACAAAATATCTAACGTCCTATATGTGAGTCTTTAGTTTGCTGTTCAGCTTGACTTGAACTACTCATTTAACGCTTCACATTGTAAATCAATCAATATGCCCACATAATTTGTTGCTTTACTGCCTAAACTATCGAGCTCAGATATCAGATTTGGTCTCAAGCCTAGCGACCACGCTCATAGTAACGATTTTGGACGGAACCTAGTATTCCACCGGAGAGCCGCATTTAGGACAATAAACCCCACTGTTAATTTCGGAAGAACTACTACAATTGAACGAGTTTGGATCCTTCATGTTATAGTCTATAATAGTTGAACTGCTCCTAGTGTTCCTTATTGCTACGGATTTCTTCCAGCCAAACTTGTGGTATGTTGAAATCGCACCTAATTCCTGAGGTGGCCTAAGCTTTAATAATGTAGCTTTCTTACTCACAGCAGCCAGTCAATATCAGCATTCTCACCAGTTCTTGCAGACGGCTTGGCGTTTACTCTTAGAGCAAGACCCGATTCAACCTGTTATCAAGACGCATCGAAATGGACTTCCTGAGCCGCCAAAAGGGACTCTGCTTGAAACGGCTTCATGCACCAAAGGCTTTGCTATCGAACATTGGGCTTTGCAATGACTATCTCACAGTACTGAGAAGAGGAGAGAGCCTTGCACAGTACTTGGGAGAGAAGTTGTTCATCAACTACATGGAAGAGAGACTCAACAATCTTCTCAACTCTTCAGATCATCCTATTTCCATCCATGACAGTGAAGGACGGGCCAAGCATGTTAGGTGGGCCTACCTCTTACGCCACCTGGAAGCTGATCAATTCGAAGAAGAAGATGGTGGTATATATCGCTACTCTGTTTCGGGACACACTATCAAACTGCCCGAATATACTTACCAAATGATCCGATGCGGAATTCTTCAACAGTTCCTCGAGCCATGGCCAATATTGGAAGATGTGCAGAAGGAACTGGACACTACTGATCAGACTTTTGTCACTGCACTGCATTGGTATGACGAGCTTTCACAAGGTATGACTCATATAACCATGTAATATTCCATAACTCAGCAACTAATGAGATTATACTATAGCCCGTGAGAGATTCGGCACCCTGCTGCACGAGTTGCATAAACGACGTGATATACTCCGTTCAGTGTTGCGAGTCACAGCAGTGGATAGGCCGAGCAAAAGATTTCTGGCGGCCGCGGAGCTGTCAAATGCTAAGTCCCATGAAATGCAGCCAATACCAGAGGACGCTGAAGGCTACAAACTCCTCGATACCGAGGTGCATCGACGTGATGATGGCCAAAACAGCCTTAGCTGCCAGTCGCAAGCTACCCCGGACTTGGCAATCCGTATTTTGGATGAAAGCCCTCGGGTAGAGCAACTATATTCATTGGAGCAGCTGGACACCGTGTCTAGTCATCAGTTGGTTGAAGAAAATAATATCTTTTCAAATCAGCATAAAGGCCAGAAGGAAAGTCCACCTAATCGTGGCCGATACTATACGCAAAGCCTCAATTCATATTCAAGGCAGATTTCGAGACAAAAGAGGAGGAATAAGGTACGGTAATCACTTCGCGATTCATGGTTGATACCTAAAATTTATGGCTCTTATGTTGTGGTGTGAAGTGGCAGATATAGAACGCAGAGCATTAGCCGGTAGCTCAGCCGCATTGTAAATGTGGGCTCTATTCAGAATGGTTTACTTCCATACAGTATCTAGGCCAGGTACATAGGTCATATAGAACCACATAAGGAAGCTACATTAAATCCAATATTCATAGATTATTCTTATGTATATCTCCTTGGTTACTAACTGCAACCTCTCTCGCCCACTATATAAATGCGACTAAGCTGTAGTATGCAGAACAGGAACTGAAGCACGCTACCTCGCAACCACCTCTTTCTGTACATCATTGGAAGTCGTGGTTCCATATGGACATGGCCAAACTCAGTGTCGTCGTCAACACCATTTTCCGGCGCAATCTCATCCAGATGGGTCTCCTCTTCGTCAAGGACGTGTTGGACTCCCGCGCCGAGGTTGAGAAGATCGTGACCCGTGTGTGCCCCCTCCGGAATACCTTCTGCGGCTGGACGTGGGACGTCCACACGTCCGCCAGGCCAAGAACGTCTCCCCGTCGGATGAGAGTGAGACATAGTCTTGGACAGGAAACACATCACAGGGATACCGAAACACGACATCCGCGCTCCTCGGTGTTCGATGCGGTTTCCAGGCTACTGATTCGTCCGGCTATGTCGAGAAAACGCTTGCCGTCCTCCAAACTTACTAGCAGAATGCCGGGCTTAAAGTTTAAAAGCTGAATGAGGTGGTACCCATCTTCTTCAACATTTCAAAGCACTCTTCATAGCCTATCTCACTAATTAGCTAGTCATTGCAATTGTCTCATCTCTTCACATACGGGTTATTATTTTGTCCTGCCAAATTCCTTGCTCGCAATCAACATAGCCAAGGTACCTTAGGGACTCGGATATATTGATAATATGTGCTACTAGTTCATGCAGCCAGTCGTACAGACTCTCCTTAGAGTCGAAGGCTAAGTAAGTACCTTGGTCAAGTGCCTTCAGGGTATACCGACCCAAATCCAGATAACATGTATTGAATGTCTTCCAGACATCGATGGCATCATTTTCCGTAGTCATCTGCTGGCTTTGCTTCTGAATACCTACCAATTCGGGGAACCTTTTCTGGTACGCCTCCAAGAGACTGTGGCCATCTATAGCAAGTAATATCGATGCTGCTTCCTTGGCATCCCCTCGATTTATCGCTGCTTGGCAGTTTTTGAACTGATCTGAAATGCAGCCCGGACTGAAGATTTGAGCTCTTCCATAATGTGAGCCATTGATGGCATGCAATTCGTTGGGTTCAGGCTGCTGACGAGCACGATCAATGCGAGTTTCATAGTACTGCTGAGCCGCCTGTATACTCTCGTCGGTATAACTGCCGTCGGACATGTTATTCCCTGCTATTCGCCCATTTCTGGAAGGTAAGAAAACTTACCAAATTTCTTTGGGTAGATAAATCATTTTTCTCCTGTCTTTCAGCTCCATTTCGTACTGGAGAAGCAAATCTGCCAATTCGATAAAAGGGTCCGCGTCCGTGACTTCATCTCCAGTTAACCGATTTTGATTGTGTAGCACAATGCGTATGCTTTCCCCTTCGCGACCTGTTTCAAATAGCCATCCACTCAACACTCTCAGATCTTCTTCCAGTTCATTCACGTCACTCAGGCGAGGATAGACATATACGGGTCTCAGATATTGAAACTCCATATTTCAAGATAATGGATTTTGGCCTGGGGTTTGTGGTTGGAAGGTCGACAGAAATGATTCAATGGAACAAGAAAGTTGACCGTGCGAACCGTAATAAATATGAACCCTAGAAAATATAGGTAGCCACCTTTTAATATCTGGCGGGAATCACCAACGCTATGTGACCTATACCTCTTGTCGAGGCGCTTAGGCCTTGTAGTCGATTACTGATTCTGCGGGATGTCGTATGGTAATCTCGCAGGTAGTGTTTGAAATGAAGGACAAGGATACCAGCCTTAGTGTAATTGAAGGGGCGACTTGGAAACGAATCAAACATCTCTACCTCGCGTCATTTTTTTTTAGTTGAACGTTCCTTGGCGCGTGGGTTAAACCAAATCCAGCTAGGTATGTTCATGAAGCAAAAGTAGGCCGTCTTACTGGCTTGATGGTGTGGATATATGAATAATTTATACGAAAGGTGATGCATAGAATCCAGTTCCCCTATTAGGCTGGGTTATGGCTGAGCTAGGCCCCTTGGTTGCATAATATACAGGAATCATAGTAGGACCGCAAGATAAACATCACGTGCATTGGGTCAAAATCGGAATTTGAGAATGTCCATAGACTAGCACGGCCATTTTGCTACCTTCGTTTCTCTCGTTGGCGTGTAGCCTCCTTGCTAAGGTTTTATGTCTCTCCATAGATAGCCCTTTGAAGTAAATGCTGCAACCTTTGGGAAAGGTGCCATTTTTTTGCTAGTGTAACTGCCGAGGCCTGTTTTTGGCGCGGTAGATGGTAACCTGCTGGTAATCCGTTAGCATGAGGAATAAACCTTTTATTGTGTCTTCATACTTGACTCCCCAAAGTAAATGAGATGCAGAATCCAACATACTGTCTGCAGGTCTGTATCTTCCACATGTAAATCACAGCTTTTACCGCCGTGAAGGATGTCCCGAAAATTTTCCGCTAGATAAGGACTCTCTGCAGCGAGGACTGTGCTGTGAATAGGTATGCTCCGATCTCCTACGACTATCTTTGCATCAGAGCCTTGTCTATCAATCCATAACCTTTTCCGCCGTTCTTGTAATGCATGCCCAATGAAACCTAACATTGGCATTTTCGTCCGGAAATACTGTGCGTCGTTAGGAAGATATAATATAGGTGTGATTATCTCAACATCCAAGTGTGATATACAGACATCACCACCTGATATATAGTGCCTTGTTAGGCCTGAGTCGAAACGTATCAGTTCTGATATCAAAGCCCAATGGAGGACGCAGGAGCTCACTGTCCTACTTCTTACTCATCCCGGCCCCGAACTTTGAGAGACAACAGCGTA